TGAAAAATTATTCTTTCCTTTTATCGAGTCGTTTAGATTTAGAAGGTTTAGCCTTGAGTTAGGATCAAGCAGAACTTTAATTAAAGGCTTACCTTGTGAAGACGTCGAATATACGTTATGAGGACACAGTAAAATTTACCGCTTTATTGATATAATACAGAGTTGATCAGCAGGATTATTGAAGAATAACGAGTAGGAAATCGCTTGACCGTGAGTCAAAAGCTGTTGTAAGTAAGAATACTATGGAAGAGCACTAGTCCAGGAAAACCTTTTTACAAAAGGGTTATATGGATAAAGAAGTAGGAGTGGTTTACATAAAACGTTAAAAAAGGGGTATTCATTTAGATACAAAGAAAACTGTAAAGATGTGTATTTTCGTTAGACAAAGATAACAAAGAAACGTATGGGAGATAATTTTGAAGAATGTAATTTGGTGAATAATGCAGTGATGAATCATTAGAAATATTCTAAGCATTTAATGTATAAATTCTTTCGGTTTTTCCGACACTATTTTCATAGGAATGGATTCCATATGTTTTGGATTTTTGTCATACAGGAAATGAAAAATGAAGCTAATTAACTTTATTTTCAGTTCCACAACAATTATCATAATTAAAATTACGGAACTAAATGCAACAATAGTGATGAGTTTCCAATGAGCTATTATGTATGCTAGTTCTTCTTCTATTGTTTCAGTAGTCTTCTCAAATTATACTGTCAGTTGTTCAATTAACTCTTCTCCTTGTTGATCTAATTCTATCCAGAGAGACTCTGTTCTTGGTAGATTAGTCTTTAAGTTGATACTTTCGTGTCTTTGAGCTAATATTTCTAATTCTGCATTAATTCTTTCAATTTCGAATTTGCTAACTATACCTGCTCGGAATTCGACTTTTTTCCATTCAGACTTATTAACATTACGAGGTGCTATTAATAACTTATCAACTCTTTTGACTATAACATCACTTCTTTGTAGTAGTAATCTGGCTGCTAACGTTGAATTACTAGTCGATAACCACTCAATTAAAAGTAATAAGTTATTTCTATTTTTACAACTTCGTCGTTGCGTTTCAACTAGTTGTTGCTTAAATTGCAAATTTACAATATCAAAAATATATTGAAATTTAATATTCGCTGGATCAAATTTACTTGATTTATTTTCTTCTTCGTCGTTTATTTCTTTCATAATTAACTGATCCTTGGAATCTGAGTTCATTGCACTTTTTGTTTGCCATTTATCGACTCCTTCATCGATGATTATATCTCCATTCATGAGATAAGGTTTGGAAAATTTGCAAGTCGTGTCCTGTATCTTCTCAATTTTCTTAAAGATGAATGATGCTTGTAATTCCTCTATAATAACATGCCTTTCGTATAATTGGGCATTATATTTCCCAATTCTTTTATGCATCTATTTATTGCTTGGGTATTCCACAATACGATGCTTGTCTTTAAGACACATTTACCACTTTGTATACTGCAATGATTGGTATCATCAAAATCTGATAGTAATCCCTTACTATCATAGAGGAGAAGTGTTCCTCTTTCTAGTATGAAATTAGTGGTTGATTGACATCAGATTCCTAATCAACTGTATGAGTATTGTATATTGTTGTTCGTTGTCCATTTATTTTGCTCAGCCTCTTTTAACGCTGATCCATTTAATTCCTTCTGATTGTTTAAAATTGTGCATAAATGAGAAGATATAGCAGAAATGGTGGTTTCGTCTGAAATTACTGACAAGGATAGTCTTAAAAAGGCCTTAGTACACACTGTTCGAGTAATATTGCTACATTTGATTGCAGGTATGCGAACATGAGTTTGAGTATAGACTGTCACTTGGGCCAATGTGACCTTTTGTTGAGTAATTTCGTTGCAATTCCATTTTTGTGGTATATTAAAAGGAGTACCTGATATCCATTCACAATTTTGCTGTGATGTTTGTCTTAACAGCGGTTATGAGAATCAGCGTTATTAAAAATAAACAATTCGTTATTGACTTAGAAATTGGTCGGGTTCCATCTCGTACTTGTGTGGCCGTTCTGGTTCTTCTAGCAATCGGTTCCTCCGGTTCTGAATTTTGAATTGAGGTTCCTGGAGTTGGTTGTCGTTAACTAGTTCCGTTGTCGTTAACTTCTAGAGGGTATAACATATTCACTGGCCTATTAAGAAGTTTTCCATGCGGCAATTCTATTATAGCATTTTTTACTTCTCCATCTTGCTCTTTTTTAATTTCCTTTATTCTTCCCAATTTCCACATACCTCGGGGAATTTCAGGTTCATTAACTAATACGATTTCTAGCTCCGCAGGTTCTCTTGCATTAACTAATCTTGGAGAGATGTGATTTCTCTGGTTTCGTTCCTTTAAACTATTTAGATATGCTCTTCTCCATAGCTTCCAAAATTGATCTAACGCCTCATTTGTACTTGACCAATATTTAATTAATTTCTCTTGAGTACTCATTCTATAAGGGGTGTACTCGTCTTGATCCTCTTCATTAAAAATTTGAGTTACTAGAGAGGCGTTTGGTGAAATAAAATCAATTGGTCGTATGACCACGTAGTCATCGAAGCTTACATATGTTAGTGGTCGGGTATTCAGTATACCCTCTATTTCCACCATCGATTCGATTTTGTATAAATTTTAGTAAAAGTCGTGAACGGTTTTTTATCCATTGGAGTGCACATCGAGAGTCTGACCATAATGTTACTCTTACATCTTCAATTTCTAATTGTTTAATAATAAATTTGGTTGCTCGCACTCCAATTAAAATGGCTAACAATTCTAGTTTAGGTATTGTTATACCTTTCACAGGAGCTACTCGAGATTTCGCAAAAATCAAAAATGTGTTTATACCTTGTTTTGCATAAACTGCTGCAGCATATGCCGTAGTAGATGCATCGGTAAACACATGAATTTCTAATTGTTGTAAACATTCAGGATCTATCACCATACGTGGAATTTCTTCAACTTTTGTTGACCAACGACTTGTAAAAATTTCCCATGTCTCAATGTCGTCATTCTCCAATAATTGGTCCCAGGATACTTTCCTTTTCCAAAGAGTTTGTAGGAATAGTTTGAATAGTAACATCGATGGAATTAAGAACCCCAAAGGGTCATATTGAGAAGCGATCAATTGTAAGATTGTCCTCTTTGTTGGCGTTTGGTTACTCCATGGCTTTAAAACTATTCCAATAGAATCAATGACTGGATTCCAATTGATACCAAGAATTTCTTTTGTTTGACTTACTTCTACTCGGTCGTTTTCAGGAATAAGCTCATTGAAATCATTGTCATTTGAAAAGAATTCCCGTATATCCATTGAAGCATTTTTGAAGATATCTTTCATTTCTTTAATTTTGAATGCTTCTTCCGTTCCACTTACAGATAATATAACATTATCGACATAGAGGTTCTTCTTAATTTCTAGAGCGGTTTTGCTTCCGTAAGTTTCTAAATGATAGTTGAGTGTAGCTGAAAGTAAAAAGGGAGACGCTATTACGCCAAATGGAACCCTTTGGAACCGATAACTTACTAAATTTTCCTTGGTGATTTCTCCTTGAATATCCTTTAGCCATAAAAAACGAGTGCAGTTCTCTCGGACGGATGTAATTCCAATTGCAAAAAGCCCTTTTCTATATCTGCTATTATAACATTTTTCATCATTCTGAAGCGAAGCAAAACACCTGCTAGGTCAGGTAATGTAGTGGGACCGCGATATAACACATTATTCAGATTTTTTTCTCCCTTAATATGGGCTGAAGCATCATAGACAATTCGCAATTTTGTAGTTGCTTTCCGTGGGGTTAATACTTCACGATGAGGTAAATAATGTATAATACCTTCTTGGTCCATATTTGTTGTCACTTTCTCAATAATATTAGACTGTAATTGCGCTTTGATTATCTCGTTATTACTTTCGAGCATGGTTGGTTGGCTTGGAGTCGTTTGATTAGCATCTTTAAACGTCCATAACGAAGACCATAATTATGTTGTAAGTTAACTTTCGAATCTTTCCATGGCCAACAAACTTGATACCTACTGTTTTTCTTAGTAATACCATTTTTAAATTGTTCCAATGCCTTCTCATCATCTTGGTTGTTCTTCGATCCCTATTACCTCCAATTGCCAAAACTGATCTATGTCTGGATTAGTAATAACAGTGGTTACGTTAATGGAATTAATATTAAAACTACCAGATTTAAAAGTCATATTAGTATATCCATAACCTATTATTATCGATCCTACGTTGGTGTGAAGTAAATAAAATCCTGATGACATACGGTGGAATTTGTACGGTTGCATAAATTCGAAGAAATAATCAGCTCCGATTATAATGTCGGGCCGTCTCCAATATCCTTCCGATTCATCTAACTGTTTCTGACGTATTATACAATTTATGTCATAAGACGTTGGATTAATAATTTGTAGTTTATCTGCTAAATATTCTAATACATAAGCGTTTATATTTATGATTTTAGATTCTAAAGCTCTTATTCCTATTTTTACCTTATCAGTTTAGTAGAGTTTGGGAAATTGGTGCCGAAAGAAAAGAGTTTTAATTCTTCCTTCATAGTTTCGGTTAGACTTAAACGGTTGGCTAACTTCTTTGATATAAATGATTGGGAACCTGAATCAAATAATACTAGAGCTTCTTCCTGAATTTCCAGTTGAGTTGGATTAACTGCTTCAATTTCTTTACATATTAATAAAACCTTCTTGCCTTGGTGGTTGATTGGCTGATTTAGTGAATTTATGATGATTGTTGAATTTGTTTCTTCATTGTTGGAACCATTATTGAGAGAGCCATATTTTTTGTAGCACAACGCCGTATTGTGTTGGCCTTTGCAGTGGAAGCATGTACGCTTCCTTTGTTTGCAATCACTTGTTGCATGCACCGTACGGAAACAATTAGTGCATGCCTTGAGCTCCGTCAGGCGTTCAAACTGATGTGTAGCCGTAAGGCAATTTGAGCATTCACTATCCCAATGATTTTTGTTATAAAATATGCAAGGCCTTCTTTCCTTGCTAAACTTCGTCTTATTACTTGGCTGAAGGTGTTTTGCATCATTTAATTTGAATTGTTTTGTTATGGATAAGGCGGAGGTTCCTCTCCCCTTTTGAAAATGAATTACTCTTTTTGGACTTGGTTCTTGCTGAGTTTTTTGGTTTCTATTTACCTCTTCGTTTCTCTGAATTAATGTCATTAGAAATTGTAATCTATTTACCGTCCAGGTTTCCCTTTCTGTTTTCATCTGACAGACTTTGTCCAGAATCTATGGTGGGAGTCTGCTTTCGATCGTTACTTCAATACTGGAATGTTCCAGATTCTCGCCTAATGCTTCTAACTGTTGAAGGATTTTTTCCATCGCTTCGACTCGATTCTTTGTCGTTCCGTTGAATGGAATGGAATTCGTTATATAACGATTTCTTTATAGTAGCAGGATTACCATATTTGTCGATTAAAACCTGTCTTATTAATTGATAATTCTCTGGAGCTATATCAAACCCTCTTATAGCCTCCAGTGATTCTCCTTTTAAACATGAAATCAAATAAGTAAGCTTTTGAATGTTTGGAATTTCCTGAAGATGTATAGCTGCATTAAAGCTATTCCAAAATTCTCGCCACAACTTTGGATCCCCACTAAAAGTTGGTAGTGGTAACTGTGGTAAATTTATTATTGAATGATAGGCGGGTGAGGGTTTCTCTATCTCTTTTCCTTTAGTAACTATCAACTTTTCTTGTTGAAGGGCTAATTCCAAATCATCATAATATGAGTTTAAGGTAATAATAGTTTCCTTAATCATGTGTAAAATACCTTGCTTATCGTTGAACATTTCCTCATACTTTTGTTCTTCCTCTTTCTTTGCTGTTTTCATAGCTTGTTGTATGAGATCCAACCATTTTTGGTTGATCATTTCCAATGTACCAACATATATGTCGAATCGCTTAACTTTATCCTTGACGATCCGTTTTTTAATTTCATATTGTTGTTTCTGATCTTGCGGCTGGTTTCGATCTGGTAGTGATAGATCAAGTTTCTTAATTTCTTCCAGAAGTTCGATTACTCTGTCAATTGTTGGTTGTGCTGATTTGTTGAGAGAGGTCGACATTTCTTATCTCACCTTGGGCACCAAATAAGAATTTTATCGTGAAAGTTTCGTTGATGGGTAATCCGTAGGATTGATTATGTGTGTAGGGCGTACTGGTTAGAAGAAGGTTTATTGAACAAGTGAGATATACAGAATCGAAACACAAAATCTTTGATAGGCTTATATGCGTTAAGAAGTGGGAGGTGGTGATATTAAACACCGGAAACTGTTAAAAGCCAAATTACATAACATGCACATCGCAACAGGATCCAATGAGGAGATTAGAAGTGAATTGGGAGATTATAAGCATTATAGTATTATAAGCAGAATTATTTCCTGTACGAGAGGAAATGTAAGAAAAGAGCTTAGATAAAAAACCAGAAAGAACTTAGAAATTCAATGGGGAATAAATCTAAGGAATGTAAATTTAAACAAATATGGGAGATAAATGGTAAACCATGAATCATGAGAAACATTCCTAATTTTATTTGTATAAAATTTATTTTAGGTTTTCGCGACAAGACATGCAAGAAATTCTCGGCTGACAAATCTTCTGCCATTTCAAGATATATTGCTCTAGTAGTAATGGATGTAAAAAGAGCGATCCATCTCTTTCTACGCCGGTGTTAGATTTGATTGAAAGAGGACCCAAGTAATCTAAACCCACTTTTTCGAATGTTCTCGATCGTTTCACTCTAGTATCCGGCAGGTTTGGCATTGGTGGTAACTTGAATGGTTTGGCTTTCCATCGTCTGCAAGTCATACACCAGGAGAGAGTTCGTTTTACTGCAGCTCTTCCTTTTGGGATCCAAAATCTGTGTCTTAATTCGGACAAGTATGTGAAATTCCTGCATGATGTAGGTCCTCGTTGTTTTTGCATAATAATGAGTTTGGTAACACAATTATAATTCGGTAAATATATAGGATATTTGCTTTCGTGTTCTAATTCCGATTCTTCTAGACGGCTATTTGATTTCCATAAATTGTTATATTTATGTTGAAACAGACTCCACTTTTCTTTTTCTTCCTCCATTAAGTTTTGCGATTGCGCTTGTTGGATCAATAATCGTTCTGCTATGTTGTAGTCACCTTTGGTCATATTGTTTCCGTTTATAGACAATGATCGCAACCAAGGTAATTTTCTGTTGTTACGAGTTTGTTTTATAAATCGAAGAGCCCTTACGGTCATTCTTACCACTTTTATCCACTTACTAAAGCGATTTGTATCAATAAATTGGATCGATTCTTGTTTAAAGTTTTAGGTTGTCCTTGTCAATTTAGCATAAGTGCCTGTTCAAATTCATCATTAGTGCCGTGACAGTTAAAAGAAATGGAATTAAGAAGGTAAAGGAGATTGTTATTGTTCGTTGTAGAAGCAGTCAAGTTTTAAAGAAATAACAGTGTAGCGGTTCGTTGTGTGTTCGAAACGTACAACAGATTATCCTTTATTATTACAACAGATTATCCTTTATTATCGTCTGGATACCAAACACAGTGAAGATAGGTTCAAATAATTCCAATTACAATAGAATGACTTCCAGGATAAAACTAGTAGAATAATGAGAGATTTTGTAAGGATTATTGGATTGGGAGAAATAGATGGAGAGCGTTTGTGTGAACCTGAGTGTTGACAGATGGGTTTTTTTGGCAACAATGAATGAATCTTAGGATTTCTTATGTTTATACAAGGAGTGTGTAAGAAGAAAGGAAAGAAATGCGATGCTTCACAGATATATAGAGATAAATATGTATAAAATCAGCACCGACGTTAAAGAGTACTAAGGCTTCTGCCTGTTGGTCAGGGTTATCAGGATTAAAAACAGTAATTTCTTTACATAAAAGCAGTACTCTTTTCTCTTCGACTTTCGCAGTCGAATTAACAGATATACTTGCATTTTTAACCACAACCTTTCCTTTGTCAACTCCAGAATCTTTAGGCTGCTTGAACTGGTTAGTTTTATCGGTACAAAGGGAGCTGTTGAGATTTCTTACAATAAAAACAACTTACCCTTTTTTTGCAATCGAATTCGCTATGTCCAAGCTTGAAACAATTGGGGCAGACCTTAATTTCCTTCAGTCGATCAATTCGTTGCTCGACTGTAGGATATATGTGACACTTGCTATCCCAGTGATTGTTGTTGCAGAAGATACAAGGTCTCCTCTTTTTATTTGTCAACCAATTTGGACTCTTTTGATTTAGCTGGTTCCTTTCTGCTGAAGCGGTTTGCTTTGATTGTTTCATTGCAACTAATGCAGAGGTTTCTGGGATGATTGAATTAGGATAATGTTTAATCAAATTTTTTCGACTCACGCTATCTGAATATTGCCATTCCATTACCTGGTCGTTTCTGAGGATTGTTTTCCTGAGAAACTGTCGAAGTTTTATTATGGGCCACTGGTTATCTTCCTCTTTTTGTTGAAAAACTTGGTTTAGTATTCAATTTAGTAATTTAGATTCTATCATAGTTTCAATGGTAGGTTGCTCTACGTTTTCGCCAATTGCTTCTAACTGCCTTAGCACTCTTTCCATTTCTTCGACTCTTGTTCTCCAATTTCGGTCGTTTCGTTTTGTAGATATTAGCTCTTTGTACAGTAAACTTCCTATGGTAGAAACACGACCAAATTTCTCCGCTAATAATTCCCTTATACTTTTGTACTTTCAGGTGTCCTGTCGTAACCCCTTACTAACTGTAGGGCGCTTTCTTTCAGACAGGGAACTAAATAATTTAATTTTCGAATATCGGGTATGTTTTGAGAGTGTACGGAGGCTTCGAAACCACTCCAAAATTCTCTCCATGTTTTTCACCACTGAACGTTGTAACGACTGTTGTGGTAAACTTACTACTGGACGACATTCAGTTAAACTAGATTCCTTATTTTGTGAGAAGCGTTTAAGAGCTAACTCGGCATCGTCCTTATACATAGATAAGGTTATGATAATATCCGTACTTGTGTTAATTAAATTTAAGATACCTCTATCGTCATTCGCCATTTCCTCATATTTCTCCTCTTCTTCCTTTTTCTGCGACTTTGCGGATAGTTGAATGTGTTCCAATCACTTGTGATTTTTTCGAGAGTGCCAACGTACCTTTCGAGGTGCATCAACTTTTCCTTGGTGATTCTTGCCCTGGTTTCATACTGCTGGCACAATGCTTCTATTGTCAATACTTCTATTTGTATTTGAGTTAGATCCATTTGTCGTACTTCATCGAGGAGTCCCTCGAGATTTGCTTTTACCGATTCGCTTTGACAATTATGCTGGCAGACACCTCACCTCGGGTACCAAAAATTTGTCGTGAAATAGTAATGACTGCCAGATAATTTATTTGCCGAGCTTAGAGGTTGAGTAATTAAACTCCAATCAAATCTATCCAAATAAAGCGCTTAGTGCGAAAGCGTTTGTCAGGAAGTCGATTTGTCTTGTGAATACGCAACAGTAAAGGATATTATCCTTTATCGTGAGAAGAGATTGATATGAAGCCGATATCCTTGGAAGAGGAGAGAAGAATCACCCCTCTCCCCCTCTCGGATTTGGGACCGAGATTATATCTGTTAAGAAATGGGAGTGGTTTACATGAAGAATTCAAGTGCCGGAAACACACCGGAAATGGTACAAGCATTGTAACAAGGTTAAACAGAAAGATTAACATGGGAAATTAAGGGTTTAAATATAAGGATGCAAATTGGTTAGATAACAACAAAAAAGTGTGGGAAGTAATTTTAAGGAATGTAGATATGTTAAAAGTGATTCATAGTATCGTTAACATTGATTTGCAATGTGGATGAATTTATTTGAGGTTTCGTTTTCAGGACAGAGTGTGATGTCGATCAATAGCCAAATATCACTAGTGTTGTCGATCGGTTTCCTAAGATCCCCCTGGCTGATTTGAATTGGGTTGTGTTGTGTTGTATTGGGTTGAGTTGAGTTGAGTCGGGCTGAGTTGCGTTGAGTTGATTTGGGTTGCGAGAGGCTGAGTTGAGTTGATTTGGGTTGCGTTGAGTGGGATTGAATTGAGGTGTATTGAGTCCACATCGGATTGTAAAACCTTTATTGACCATAATAATTTAGCCGATTTACAAAAGGATTTATATGCGTTAGAGAGTGGGAGTGGTTTCCTATCACTACACTGGAAACTGTAACGTTCAATTACAGTATAAGCATCTTAGCAAGATCGAACGAGAAGATCAGGATGTGAATTTTTGGGAAAACAAGATCAAATGAGATGTTTAAGATATGGATTTGGATAGATATTCTAAGCATTGCTAGCAAAGGCATTTCTATACAAAGATATGTGCTTAGATAAAAACAGAAAAAACATGGGAATTTAACAGGAAATAGATTTAAGGAATGTAAATTTTGCTAAATGATTCACACACAACATTGGGAACATTCATTTACAACAAGGAATTTATTTATTTGTTTGGAGTATGATTAGAGTCTCACGAATTGGAATTCGCGACACTCCCAAAGGCAGGCGAGAGGAAAAACTAGTATGATAGTATAGTATGAAAAAAAAAACTAGTATGAAAAACTAGTACGAGAGGAAAAACTAGTATAGATTGACTGGAAGGTCTTCAGGTGTATGGGAAAGGGTATTAAGTCTAATAACTGAAGCTTGGTTTTCCTTAGCTAGAACTTGGGCAAGTTTAGATTTCTTAGGGAGAACAATGATATTTCTGTGGTTTGAATTTCGTTCTCGTGAAAACCAAAATAAGGATCGTAGGAATGCTAGTTTAAATTTATGGCTAATTATTACAAGAGAGATTGTAACAATACTTATACAAATGGTTGTTAATCTCCAATGTGTGGCTACACTTTCAAGTTCTTGGATTGATTGAATAACTTAGTCGAATTCCTTCCCTAGTTGGTTTGTTAGTTCTTCCCCTTGCTCGGAAATTTCTTGCCAAAGAGAATCATCCCTTGGTCGATATGGTATTGTATTATCTGCATCTTGATTGTGAGCTAGGAGTTCTAATTCTGCATTGATTCTTTTAACATCAACTTGTCTATTAGACCTCCT